AGTAGAATCAATTAAAATACTTAAATATGAATTAAGATGGATTATATACACATGTTTATCAAGGATTAGTAGACGTTTTTAAAAAATTACAAAATTAAGAAGTTAACATGCAAAATCTAGGACAAAGGATAATTCTTTAGTTATCTTTTGTTAAAAGTACAAAAAACTTGTTTAAATTTTTTCAAGATTCCATGACTGTTATTCAATACTTTTAATATCCAAATATATTTGAAACAATGATTGTAAATCCCAAATGGCTAGAAATTCAAGTATAGTCTTTTTAGGAGAAATATCCTAAGATTGTCTCAACTTAGTAGCGAGAGTATTTAAACAAAAGCATTGCATTGATTGATTGATGTTTGTAAGCATCACATCTTAAAACATGTTCTGGTAAAAGTCCATACTATTGAGATTCAAAAGCAAGGTCTTTTACACATGCACTTCTTGATCTTTTAAAAAAAAAAATAAAGTAAAAGATTGAATCAATGTTAATAGGATCATTTGTGCAAATGATTTTATTAAAAAAGAAGACATGTTCTTATTTAAGACAACCAATATTTGCATAGTTTATGGTCCATGTAAACCTCAAAATATGCAAGCTCTATATATGGTAGATAAGATATTTCAAAAGAGATATCCTAAATAATATTAAAAAATAACATCAATGAATGATGATAGCTATCTCTAATATTATAGAAAAAAGAATAAAAGAACTTTTAATATTAACAATCACATTATAGACAATTGAGATGTTATTCTATATTATTCTATTCTTAATAAAAGAAATAATTATCAAATCATTATTGAAGTTTTTGCTTCACTTCATATTATGAAACATATTTATAAATGCATCTTTAAAGGATATAATTATATAATAATAGAAATTATAAATAGAGAGAATAAGCATAAGCAATGTATTGATGCATGATATATTGGAATTTAAAAGATAGCATAGCATTTATTTAGAATGAAAAATGTATAAAGAAGTTTTAATGTGGTTTGATTGATATTATATTTTTTTAGAATGCATCAAGTAATTTTTGATTCAAATGATGATGCCATTGAAGTCTTAGTCTGTAGAAAGCAGATGAAAAATTTGATGATATTTTTTGAAATATATAAATTTGTAGAGATTACTTGCAAATACAAGTATTAAGAATTTCCATAGCATTTTATATAGAACAGAATTTCAAAGAAGTAGACAGTAAGATAACATGAATTTGTTTTGGAAGGTTATATTTTGTTGATTGTGTTCAAGAGAAAGATTCTATCTTTGGCTTATTTTAACAATAATATTTGGACCACGTTCATTTGAAGATTTGTATATTATAAATGGAGTACTTCAATTAAAATTTTAAGAATACTTGATTAGAAATGAGATTGTTGGAGGATGATAAAGAATAGAATCAATACTTGGAAGAAGCCTCCATAATAATATTAAAAAAATCATAGTAATTTTATTTATTATTATTATTATTATTTTTTGATGTTCAAACCATGTAACATGTTTAAGGAAAGTTTTTGTAATAATGTAGATTATTGATTGATTCAAGATCATGAAATTGAGATGCAAATAAAGAATGAGATATTAGATTATAGACTATATCTACTTAATGAAATTCTTTAAGAATCAAACAATATGCTTTCTGATTTTCTATTAATGCTTATAAAATTTTTGAAATTGCTAGAAATTGTATAATTATGAAGCATATGGGATTGAATCATAATAAGTTGATACAAATAATAAAAAAAAGTGTGAAAAAATTGAATGATGAATAATATATAATATATTTGGATATTATTACTTTAATATATAATAATCTTAGAAAATTATATTTCTTAGAAGAATAAGCATGAAGTGGAAAAATATTTGTTTATAATACAACAACAATGAAGTTTTAAAATTATAGAAAGATTAATTTGTATATTTCTTTTTCTCAAATTGTAACACAATTTTTAAGTGGTAAATGGATTCCATACTCTATATTTAAAATTCTACTCCATCTTAATAAAGAATTATTTTGTAATAAAATAAAGAAAAAATTATATAAAAATGAATTAAGAAAGATGGTTCTTATCATATAAAATGAAGTACCAATGTAATATTTCTATTATGTTGAGGCAATCAATAGAACTCTCTAAGACATAAATGACATCTATAAGTTATTTAATAGAATTATATTAATATATTTTAGATATTTTTAGCAAATTCTTCTTGTTATTATTAAAGATTTAAGAGAGAATTTTTTTTATGCTTCTTTGTAATAATAAAAGATTTAGTTTCATATTAAAGTATGTAAGTTGACCAAAAAAATATATTTGAAAGGTGAATCTAATAAAAACTAATTATATATCAGGGAATTTTTAAAGGTATATATTATATAAGAATTTTATTTTTGAGAATTTTTCCATGATACAATGTTTATGTTTAATATATCTAAGAATGATATCTATTTTCAAATTGGAAATAGATCAACAATTATAGATGAATTGAAAAGTCCTTTGATTCTTCTAAAATATATGAAAATAAGTCCAATATCAAATGATTTAATTCAAGCACTTTATTTGGAACTAGATGAAGATAAAATAATTATTGATGAATATTTTACCAAAATGTCAATTTTATCTATATAAAATTATAATATTGATGATCTAAATATGTGTACTATGAAGAGAATTCTTAGAATTTCACATGCTTGTCTTAGCACAGATATAGTAGTTATATAAGATGATAATGAAAATAAAAATTCTTATCTAAAAAAATATTTAAATAGCATAAGTCCATCTAAATTACTACCATTTAAAATAGAGCTAAAAATTGGATGTCCAATTATGTTTTTGCAGAATATTGCTTCACATTAAGGACTTTGCTCAAAGCTATCAAACTTGGTCATTACACAATTGATTGATTATATGATAAAATCAACATTGTTATCTAAAGACTTTAAAGGATAATTGGTTTTTCTTCCTATGATTATATTATATCCATCATTTGAAAGTTTTTGATCAAGTTGCAATAAAGGTAGTTTTTAATATAGATGGCATTTGCAATGACCATTAATTTTTTTTTCAAGATAGTCATTGAGGAAGATAGGAATAGAACTTAGAATCTCTATATTTGCATAAGGATTTGTATATTTCTCTTTTATGATACACTTCTTCAAAAATGATCAAGATCATATATCTTAAAAATAAATGTAGACAAAAATACCACCATAAATGTGGTCTAATCTAAAGTTTTTTTTAACTTAGCTATTTGAGTTATGGTAGTAAATAAGAATTATATTTATCAATTATATTAATAAAATATATATAATTTTATTATTGTATGTATAATTTATTTATTCTTATTTTATTTTTATTTTTTAAAATTTATTTCTTGATCAACACTTCAATAGGAGTAATCAATTTTTGACTAAGCTACCACAAATTAGAATTTTATAGCTTTTTTGTTTCCAATGGCATGGGTTGCCACTAGTATTACATATATGTAAATCTTTATCTACTAGTAATAATGCAATAATAATTTCAGTATTATTACTATCCATTTTTTTACCAAAACAACCATATTACATCTCAATAATGTCTCTAATATTAATATTGTTAACATCCATTATAAATTGATTATTTTCATCAATCCAATAAGTGAATGTGAATCCCCACTGTTATTATAATTCTTATTGGAATTAACCTAAATCATAATAGGTAGTAACTTTGCATAACACTGCCTGAATTTAGAGGAATAGCATGTAATACACAGCATCTCTTTAACCAACCGGGAGACTCTGCAGAGCCAGCTTGCAATCCAGAAGTTCAAAAAACGAAATATAAAAAACATGTAGAAAATATAATGAAGCTAGCATAGATTGTGGAGATTGGGCTACTTTTGGACTTGTAAAATGTCAGTGAGATTGTTTCAAATGACCAAGATTCTCGTGGTCTCTCAGCATAGTTTTACTGAACGTTATTTAACTTTGTGATCTTGCAGTGAATCAATCTCACTCCCAATCCAAATCAGACAACTTTCGAGAAAGATGATTGCTTCTTTTCCGGTAGGTAGTTGTGAGATTGTGTCTTCCAACTTGTTCTGAAGGAGTCTAGAATCTTCAACCTTGTCTCAGAAGTTTTTGCTAATTCTCAATTGTGATTGCCTCCAATTCCGAGTTCAATCGAAGCTGCATGATTGTCACAGAATGTTGAACTCCCCAGTTGTCCATTTCATCTTTGTCTCGGATTCCTTCTCTCCACATGTACCTCCTAACGGTCCACTCTAGACCACCATCTACGGTGTCTAACTCCATTTGTAATTGCAAAATAACATCATGGTGTCTCATTTTTCTGTTGCCTGTCGAGTCATGGGCTTCAGAGCTTTCTGCATGATTCAGCTTCGTTCATTCTTGCATACCATAATCTCCTAACCGTTTTGCAAGACCTCTTCAGCATGTGTCTCCTCAATAGGTGCGATTCTCTTGGCTCTTGGTGCATGAGTTTGTCGCCCCTTAGGTCGGAGCAACAGAAACGACTTGCAGTTTCCAAGTCGAGCGAAACTCACAGTCCCAAGACGAGAGAAAATTTTGAACCCGCCTCTAACGTCCAACCGCACAAGAAGTGCATCCTCAGCAAATTGGTTCCCGTGCATTGTCTCCGCTACAAGAGTTTCGATACAACTGTTTCGCTCCCTGGTATAGCGGTGAACAACAATGTCTAGCTGCGAAGTAGTATCCACCCTCGAACAGATCAAGGTGTGAGCCCATCGAAGCGAACCGTTTGTGACCATCTCGTTTCCACGTGACCGGACTAGTTCAGTGCAACGCACTTCAGGAGCATTGTCGCACAATGCGACATCCCATGGAGCGTGGTGCCGTTTGCTCTATGTCTCACATACAATGACATGCAACGTCTCATGACGGGCACAACAACACACCATAGGACTGGACCTGCATTGGACGCATCGCACACCACATTACAAAGGCTGTCACACGAGCACTGCGTGCCTGAGGTCACGGAACAGATTTGTCACATTTATAGATATTTTCCCGCTTTCACAGGGGAGTACACAATGCCACTCTACTCGGGTGCACGCTCAGAAGATTTCCATCCACTTCGACCCCACGTGGAGACGGCAGTGCTCCAGCTTGGACCCTGAGAGCTCAGCTTCCGGGGACTCGAATTCCTGCACAGCATGCAAGTCAAAGCCATGAGTGGCAACCCCATGATCGTGATCGGCTCCGCTTCGCACAAGGCGGTGCACTCGCCGCCGCACTGTCGGCAGCATGTCCACAACCATGACGTACGAGGCAAGGCAGCAGGAGCAAAGACATCACCGGACGACGCGAAGGATGGGACGTGACAATTCGCTGCTACAACCCACCCCCTGGGGCGGCTGGGCGGCTGGAAGGCAAAGAACTGCATCAGCGTGGGAGAAGGCGTGAAAGCGTATCTTGGCACACGAAGCCCCTCGGGACGGCGATGCGGCATTTCTGGGGGATGCCGAGAGCGATCCGGGGAGCCACCCCTTGCGACCTGGCCAGGGGGTGGTTCAGGAGAGAACACAGACAGTTGGCTCCCGGAAGCCCCTTGCCCATGCTGGCGACGTTGGAGCAGCATTGCCTGGAGGGCCTCACGTTGGCATTCTTGCTGGCTGCAATACACGGCGCTAGTTGGAAGACGTCGCGGCTCCCGGAAGCCCCTTGCCCATGCTGGCGACGTTGGAGCAGCATTGCCTGGAGGGCCTCACGTTGGCATTCTTGCTGGCTGCAATACACGGCGCTAGTTGGAAGACGTCGCAGCCGGCTGCTTGGGAAGTGACCAGCATCTGAGAGGTCACAAGCAGGATCAAGGACACAGCGGCGACCGCGAGGAGCTTCATGGCGCTGGGACTGCGGCGTAGTGCAGCTGCAACTCCTGATTGAGGGAACGAAGAAGATGGGGAACTCGGGGTGGCGCAGGCAGGTGCTCAAGCATCGAGAGCGGGTGATGAAGGTGGAGAGGGAGAGCGGCGGCGGGTGGATCTTATAGCGTTCAGCTGAAGCAGGGAGGGAGGGAGGGAGAGAGACACACGTGGTGTGTTGAATTGTGCGGCGGGGGAGGATGCTGCAGGGATGAGCAGGTTGGTGGGGGTAGCTGCTACAGGGAAAGGGGAAAGGGGCTGCTGTGCTGTCATTTGGATTGCGGGGGGCAGGTCTAATAAAGCCCGGGGCTGGGAATGTCAACCTGCTCCTCGTTCTGAGAGAGTCTGATGTGGGTGTGTGTGTGTGTGTGTTTGTGTCAGTCAGAAGTGTGTGGGATGAAGCACTCGGGCGTCGGGCGGAGCAAGTGGAGCTTTCGCTGGTTCGGTCTTTGATTAAGAAATCTCACCTGCTCGCCCCCCTGCAACCGGAACTCACCAAGATATCAGGTTTTAGTTTTCTGACATAAAGGTTATTTTATAGCGGCAGAGGCACATTAATATTGAGGTTTGAGCTTGCTAGCAGATGTCTTTCCAAGTGAATATTGGCGCATTAACATTGAAATTCGAGGTTGCTTTCTATTGGGTGACATCCATCTACATTTTACTTCCAAACAGTTCCTCGGATACTTATTGGTTCATTGGAACGTTATTGTTAGATTGCTACCATAACGATTAGATAGCGTCTGTGTAAGAGTGATTGTTTAACTCAGAGACTATAGAATCTGTTCAAGTCTCAAGTGATTTGTGTGTAGTAAATAAAGTATTGATTTTTGTATTACTGTAAGCATGTTTATGAGAATCCATTAACTACGTTAGGTGTTGGGCCACTTCCCAACACTACATTGAGCGATTTTACAGACAATCTCTTCTGCAGAGATTAACACAATTCAGTAGATAATATTTTTCACAAAATTATTTTCTTAAACAATTTCAGCATGGATAAGAACGACAAGTTGTGAACAGATTAGAGACACGTCCTATTATCGAACCAATCTCAATTACTTCTGATGATCAACTTCTGCTAGATGCTTGGGATGAGAAAAAAGTCAATGCTAGAATGTTTATTAGCTAATCTATTACACGAAAGATACTCGGAAAGCTTACTAGCTGCATGAATGCCGCTGCGATGTGGCACAAATTATGTTCGCTCCACCTGAAAAAGACCCTCGAGAGTATCTTCACTCTTCAAGGAATTTTTATTCGATTATAGGACGCAAGTTACAAACGACATTTCTTCACACATACAAAACATTACTGAAATGACAGGTATTCTTGCAGGTCTTGGACACAACGTACCAAAAAAAATGATTATATCAAAAATCATATACAGCCTACCACTTAGCTATAATAGCATTATAGCATTTTAGTAGCTTGGTCAAATGTTCCAAATATTAATCAAACCGTCGACAACTAGAGAAACGATTATTACGCCACGAAAGTTTGTTGCAGTGCCAAGGAGGAGCTGATATTAACGCAGATCAAGCCTTCTTTACCTGCTCCAATGCTTAACCTACAAGACCGCTGAACAGAAGAGAACTAAACAAGAAAGATATCCACTATATTCGTGATCTAAAGGCTCGCACTAAATGCTACAATTGCCACAAGCTCGGCCATTGGTCGTCTGATTGCACAAAGCCAAAGCGAAATTGTACAGCAAAGACCCTGGGAGAATCGATGGTGGTATGAATGATGCCAACTTCGCTAAAAGCCTCTATCTCTAAAATACCTCCGACGACGACTCCAAATCTGGATCCGACACAGATTTTGGATTCATAGTCAACACGGCAATTTCTAGTCATGCTAATGTTGTTCAATCTTCGGTTGATGCTTGGTTTGCGGAAAGTGGTGCAAGCGAGTACATTATCGATTGCCATGATTGGTTTTCACACACACACTATATACCCGAGGGCACACACACGATCCAAATCGCAGACAACACCAAGCTATGGGTTCGAGGCCGCAGCAGTATTCAGATCCAATGTTTAATCAACAAAAAATACAGAAATGGAGTAATCAATGATGTCCTCTATGTCTCGCAATTGAAGAAAAATTTATTCTCTGTGGGCCTCGTCTCTGAACAAAACATTTCATTTATAACACATCCAAGGCGATGTGAATTTCGAACAAAAAGTGGAAAGAAAGTGATGGAGGGCACACGTTTTCACAAGCTATATCAGTTATCTATCCATGTGATACCACCCCAAACAATTTCTTCAACTACATCAAAATCAGAAAATGATTATACTACAACAACTATTTTGAATTTTAAAACTGAAAATGATACCTTAAATTCTCAGCAGACAGCCAGTTTCCTCAAGCCAGCATGATATTTTTTTTTTCTTCATTTTTGCACACAGATGGCGCGGCTTTTTCAACTAGTACTTCTTTTTTGTCTAATGATTTACAATTATGGCATGCTCGTATGGGCCATGTTAACATTCCTACGATTCATGGGATGAATATTCGGCAGAGTCTACTGGATTTTAAGCTCGACAGCAACGATTTACTTCCGCATCCTTGTGAAGGCTACATGAAAGGAAAATAGCAAAAATAGTCATATAAACATGATCCAACAAAACAACGCTCGTCTTTACCAAGACAACTCATACATGGCGATGTCTCAGGAAAGAAAACAAGCATTCCTTCACTAAATGGTTCTCTTTATTACATTTTATATAAGGATGATGCTACAACATTTCGTTTCGTACATTTTGCTGAAAGGAAATCTGAAGCTTTTCCATTCTTTAAACAAGTTGTTAATCTTGTCAAACGGGATACAGGACACAATGTACTTGCATTTCGAACAGATCAAGGACAAGAATTTTGTAATATTGCTTTCGATCTATTTCTCAATGAAAGTTATATCAAGAGACAAACAAGTACAGATTACACACCACAACAAAATGGCTATATGAAAGAGACAATCAAAT